AAATTCAGCGATTTTCATCGAGAGCCATTTTCCCTATAGTTTAGTGCGGGGTCCTTTCAACAGACTAACGAAAACCGCAATTTGGATGTTCAACAGATATAATTCAATGTTCGACGTGGCAAATAGCCAGGAAAGTAGTTGTTTTCTGTTGAATATTCAGAATGATATTATGTACATATCTTTATATGAAGGAGAATGCAAATTCTCTACTTCAGAAGATTTTGTTTTCAAATTCTTATCGTGTGTGTTAAATAGATGTGATTCAAGGTTCGTCGTGGCATATAGCCAGGAAAGTAGTTGTTCTCTCTTGAATAAACCGAGATAGAATGAATATTTTCATCACATGGAGAATGCGAATTCTCAATGTATTTCGTTATACACTCACCGACAAATAAAACCGGCCACCAAAAAATGGTGCCAAATTATTCGCCCTGTAACTTTTTTAATTCTCATCCGATTTTAGTGAAATTCTGACCAAATTGTAAATTCATGATTCGGAATGCTTGCCTGGATATGAGGTTCTGAGAAAAACTGATGGCTTGATAATGATACAGGTATAAACATAAGTTATTCTTTCACCCATAACTTCCAAACGCCCTGTGGAAAATGTGAGTGGTTCAACTTGAGTTCATTATGTTTTGCATTGAAGTTTGATCCTTTTTCCGTCGATAAACCCTTTTCAAGAGAAGATACGAGTGTTTTAGGAAAATATGTTTTTTTTTGTATAGTCAATGTTTTTTTCCGGTGAGTGCTGAGGAAATGGAGTGGAATAAGTTCAATTATTTTTTCAAGTTGTTATTCAATGAATATAATGTAGGTTCTGATTATTGTGAATAAAAATTGAAAAATGCCATATTTTTTTAAAACCCGCGTATCTTCTCATTGAAATACGATATAGACGTATATCGAAAACTTTTTTGTTTAGAAGAGATCAGACTTCAATCCGAAGCATAATCAAGCCAAGTTCACCACTCAATTTTGCCACAGGGCCTTAAGAAGTAAATGGTGAAATTGTAACTTTGGGTTTTCCCTTTTTAATGATCAAGTCATCAGCTTTCCACGGCAACTAATATTCAGGCTAATATTCCGGAACATGAATCAACGATTTGATCAAAATTTCAGAAAAATCGGACAAGGATTAAAAAAGTTACAGGATGAACAATTTTTGCGCAAATTTTTTGTTGGCCGGTTTTTTCTGCCGGTGAGTGTATATACAGGGTGTTTCTTAAGTACGTGTAGGAAATTCAGGAGCATGTTGCTGACGTCAAAATAAGAAGAAAAGTTGTTATAAATATATGTCCGAAATTTATTCGTTTCTGAGAAACAGAGTGTCAAAGTTGAATTAGTATTTTTGTTTTTTGTCAAAATAATTGTGATATTGGAATGAAATTTGGTATCTAGGGGTATTTTTCAATGACAATATCGAATTTCATGTTAATTTGTCTCTTTCGTGGCAGTGGCGCCACCTACGTATCTTTTGAGTCTTTTGAAAAGTCATACCTTTTTTGTGCGTACCTGTATAACGTTCCATAGTAGAAAAATATATTTTTAGAACACTTTTGTGTAAAAAATATATTCCTGGTAGAGGTTCGAATCCCAATAACTCGAAAACACTTGCTCGCAGCGACCTCTACCAGGAATATATTTTTCACACGAAAGTGTTCTCGAAATCTATTTTTCTACTATGAAACGTGATACAGGTACGCACAAAAAAGTTATGACTTTTCAAAAGACTCAAAAGACATGTAGGTGGCGCCACGATAGAGACGAACCAACATGAAATTTGATAGTGTCATTGAAAAATACCCCTAGATACCAAACTTCATTCGAATATCACAATTGTTTCAAAATTTATTAACAATAACAGAAATAAGAGTTCAACTTTGACACTCTGTATCTCAGAAACGAAGAACTTTCGGACATATACGAACTTTTCTTCTTATTTTGACGTCAGCAACATGCTCCTGAATGTTTTGAATGTACTCAAGGAACACCCTGTATATCCATTTTCTTGTGATCATAAATATATCTGAGAATATTTCTTTTCAATAAATAACTATTTTTCTGTGACGGGAAAAAAGTTTGGCATTTCATCTCTCTTGGCAGGTTATAAAATGTCACTCTTCAAAAATTACTTTTTTCCCGTGGGAAAAAAGTGAGTACTTTTTTCCCGGATATATATCTCATATATATATACACTGGCTAAGCATATTAGGATTCTCAGAGGAAAGTTTTGCTATAGTTTTGATTTTCTCACCCTCTATGTTTTTTAGATCGCTGATCATGAATTTGAAGTTTGCTGGCAAAATTTTGGCCCGGAACTTTGTTCTTTTGGCACTTTTTGCACAAATTTTGGCACTTTTTTCAGTTTTTGGCCTATATCTCAGAAACAAACTGTTTTTTCGAAAAGCGTGTTATGTTTAAATTTAAAGTTGACAAAATTTCCTTCATTTTTTGTAGGATTCTTTTTTTTGTAAGACTAACCATTCGACCGCTAGAGCGCGCCAAAAAGACATATTCCCGGACCTAGACCTACATGAATAATGAATATAGGGAGAGTAATTGATATAATGGAACAAACGAATGAAATGCAGTCATTACTCACTGAAGAAGTTATCTACAGTGTACGTCGAAAATATTATAACATGTACTCATATCATTAAAATTATGAATATCGCTGCTGTCTTGAATTAGACTGTCATAATCATCTGGAACAAACGGATATATTATTTCTTGGATTTGTCGATAGACGGGGTGAGTCGAGGGGTGAGTATTATTTTGCACGTTTAATTTTGAGAATACTGTTGTACATACCTTCATTTTTCAAGAAAATTTCACATCCTCTTCAGTCTATTCATCTATTCTCCATATGTTTCCAGGTGGTGGAGGTCTGTAATGAACAGAATATATGGGTACATTCATCTTAGTACATACATATTATGCTCCAAGAGTGTGATTGTCGTTTTTGAGGAAGGAAATGCTACATACCTTCATCCTCCTTGTCCATACTCTTTTCGATGGTCTCAACTACCGGGAGAAGGTGAAGCCCAGTTCGTCCTGTACTTCAACGTCGAATGGCCCGTCATCAAGGGGATTAGTGAGATCTGCCTCGATTGTCACATTGTTGCAGGACCCCTCACAGTTGATTCACAGATTTGTGCAATCGAGGCCTGCTTTTTTGCAACTACATTTTTTTGCGCACGTCTTGATGCATCTACATGACACCAGACGCAGTAGTTCGAGAGGAGCGGGGGCTTGTAGAGAAGGGATCGGGTCTCCAGGCCATTTGTTGCTAGTTTCCAACCCCAATCTTCGGCATACTTCTCAACTCCCAGCCATTGCTGAAGATATACCCAAAAACTGTGCTGTGTGACTGCAGCAGCTGAAGATGGTAGTGCAGCTATTTTTGATGGAGTCTTGAAAGCTGCCTTCTTATAATTAATATACCTCAGACGGTTTATCAACGGTTCAGTCCTTCCTGTGTAGCCGTACACGTTGTCGTTGAGGAATCTCTCCCCTGCTGCTGCAATGCTTTCTGGAGTTGCCTCAGAGTTTTTGAACACACTCACAACATCGGCAAGGTTGAGGTTTTTGGTGAGAGTTTTCACGAACTCTAACTTTCCTTGGTTTTAAGGTGCTGAAGTTGTATCACAACCACTTATTGCATGAAGAAACATGATGAGTTCTCTTATGGTTTTGTTTGTCAGAGCATGCATAGGAGAGTAGGTGGTTGGAGGAACATTTCCCTTCCCTGGTTTGAGGAAGAATACGTTATTTCGTAGACAAAGACCCGTAAGGATGACCAACAGGTCGATGTCCTCTCCAACAACCACCACCTCAGTCTCAGTACGTTCAGCCAAAGACAGGGCTTCGTTCACAATGACGGTATCGGCATCTTCTGTGGTCTGTCTCCATATCATGTTTTGAGAATGTAACTTTCCTATGATCATGGAAATCAATCTTCTTTTGTTGTTCGTATTGGATAGGAATTTTTCTTTCTTCATGGTCGGTATCATGTTCTCATCGAAGAGAATGTCTGCGGAAATCGATTTCATAGACCTCTTCAACCGTTCAGCACTTTTTGTTCCACCTTTCGAACCTTCTGAATATCCATCGAATACAACTACTGTTTGTGGCCCATAGATAGAACCGACATAGTCAACATACCTGTTACATATTGCAGAAAAGGATTGCTTCTCGGGCCAAAAAACTTTTTGTAGTAAGAAGCCACCGTCGATGACATATTGCACTTTTCCGCTGAACGACTTAGTTTTTATGGGTTCGAATGCTTCGTATAGAGTAGATTTCGTTCCCTTTCTCAAACCATTTTCGAATAGGGAGAAGGAGTACGGACCCTGATCGTAGGACAAGAAAAATCTAGAACTTTATATTCAGCATTTGTCATTATACATACAACACGAGTTAATTGAATCATCTATGGCCAACAGTATCAGTGAATTTCATTAGATATGGGAATATGGCCTTTTTCGGCGCTCTCTAGCGGCAGAACAATCAGTCTTACAAATAAAATTTTATCTCCTTCCATTTTATACAGAATGATCTTGTCGAAAAAATGCTTCCTTCCTGAGATATAGGTCAAAAACTGAAAAAAGTGTCAAAATTTTGGCAAAAAGTGCCAAAAAAACAAAGTTCCGGGCCAAAATTTTGCCAGCAAACTTCAAATTCATGATCAGCAACCCAAAAAACATGGGTATACAGAAAATCAAAACTATAGCAAAACTTTCCTCTGAACCCCATTTATTTTCCTAATATGCTCTTGATGGCTTTTGTTGTGCTATAGTTCAGGAGAATGAGTCAATAATACGTTACGTATATTACTAAACAACCACTAAATTCGCAATTTTTTGAAAAATATTAGATTTTAGCTCACGGTTTTGTGTCTCCCTCCGCTACGCATCGGGAGACACCACAACCTGGAGCTTAAATCTACTACTTTTTTCCCTTGTATAATAAATAACTATTATTCTCGTTTTTCGCAGGCCTCCTGCCGGTGTGCGTGCCATGCCCTCGCCTCGGTTCGGCAGCGCGAACAGCGGCGGCGGCGGCGGCGATGTGGAGCTACGTGATGGCGGCGGCCCGCGGTGACCCGCGCCGGCGCCCCCGCGGCTCCGTCTTCACCGTGCAGGCGGTGGCCGGGGCCGGCCCTGGACCCTGCAGGGACGGCCTCAACTCCTACCGGCACCAGTACCACGGCAAGGTACGTTTCCGGCAAAGTTGAGCAATGCGAAGAGCGACAAAAAATAGCATATAAGAGAGTAAGAGAAATAGAGTGAAATTTAACTCTATAGTTATTCCCAGGAGGACCACTAAGCTTTAGAGTAAATGATTGAACTCTATAGTTTAGTATATATATATAGTGTGGTTTTTTCAATTCAATCAGTGTGAATTTTCAATACATTCCACTCAAGACCCAAGCTAGTGTCAATATCATCACTTCAGACCACTATAGAGTGAAATTCAATAACCGAATATTACATAAAGGTCGAGAGTTGGGAATATAATAATACAGAGTAGATTGCATACCTACTATAAACAGTGTCGGATCCACCGGAAATTGATTGAATCAATTACTCTACGTGGATGTCAAATGACTCCTGCATTGTTCAAATGGGGAAGACCACTGAGAGAAGAAATCCGTGCAAACCTCTTTCAATCGACGAAACATCATTTACGTTTGATGTACTATCAATATTATGAGTTAAAGTTAAAGGGAATCGAATCTATATCGTTTTGAAATCAGCATATTTCATTCGATATTTCAAACAGTCAAATATGATGGTGTAGTCGTGACGTGTTAGTCCCGAACTGTAGCTATCTCTCTCTGATACCTCGTCATTCTGCAGTATTGCAGTGTGATTGGTCAGTTCAAGGACAATAGGCGTGTTGGGAATAAGACGTCGTACCAGTCACACCAATGAATTGACAAAATTTCAAATGGCGCAGGAATTGTGTCTTTTGAAATGGACATATTCTAATTAATTTTTTCCATCGTCTTAGCATGAATGACAACATTCAAAATTAATTCGCTGGTAGTTTTTCAGTATCGAGTTCACGATGTCACTACTGGCACTTGGCACTACTATGTGTTCAGGTGCTAATAAGAGGTTATCATTTATTCATTATTTCAGATTGATATGAAACACTAGTTAAGTAAACTAGTTACTGTTGAGATTTCATCCAAGTTAGATTAATCATTCTTTCACATTTCACAGTATTTATAGGATTCTGTCAGTAAATAATATGAAAAATCGAAAAAGCAGGTCAATTTTATTTTCAAAGAAAACACTTGAAATTTTAATTATTGGCCCTCTTGGTTCAAGCCCCTAGGAGGGGTAGATTTTACCCTTAGAATCTCAAATGGGAAGGAGGGTCGCGTTCAATTCTGTTTCCAACAGTACCCTAGTATGTCATTTTCTGTTAAGCGGTTCTCGAAAAATGCTGTGTCAATTAGAAAACTTCCCACCCTTAATATCTTTCTTCCAGTCAATACAATGGGAAATCGGAAAAACAGGTCGATTTCATTTCCAAGGGAGACACTTCAAACACCTATTTTTACCCCTCATTCGTCTTAGAATCACCCAAAAAATCCCCCTTGAAGTTTGACCACATATTTAAATTACACCCTGTATAAACTACTATGAATGATCGGTTTTTTCAGAAAGATGGCATCATTAGAGGCAACTCGAGGGATGCACTCACTAACGAATCGACTCACTCTAGAGACGGTTCACGGGACAAGTTGGCAGAAGTGCGGGTGTACACACCATTGGCTCGGTGCAACACCCCTACCGAAATTCCATTACAGGTGAGTTAAATCATCAAATATAGCTATTTACAGTTGTCGTGGTTAGGGTTTCAATCTGGAAAGGGTCCACCAATTATACAGATTGTTAGCCCAATCGTTACGGTAACAAATCACTTGATCCATGGCCTTTATGTTCGAGAGATCAAATCCGCGATATTGTATCCGCGCGACATCATATCCGTGGCCTCATATCCGCGTAATTATATTCGTAACAAATTATATCCGCGCAACAGTATATCCGTGGCCATAACCTCTCCTAAAACCACCTCATTTAATATAATTCTGATATCCAACAAAAGTATTTCTTGCCGAGCGAGACATTTCGGCAAGTAGGTTCTTGAATAAGTCGTATTGAAATGTCACATAATCATTCACAATATATTATAATCAACTTACCTTTTCTATCTGAAGTCCCAGCTAACAGCTTGTGACACATGCACGTGTATATGCATCGCACTAGTAAAATATCTGAGCTTGCACACTCTTTAATCAAAGTCTATCACTCTACTTTGGGACACTCTCTAGTTATTATTTCAAATAATGGATTACGTTAACTTCATTCTCAATCTGAAATAAACCTGAAAAAGGGATAGGAAGGAGGTCAATAAATCAAACTATTCGGTTACCTATAACTGAGTTAACTATGTTTATTATCAAATGGAAAATAAATGAATGCAAGTGAATGAAAATAGGATCTGGACCTAACTAAATTACATAAAACTGACTTGATATCTACTACATCCAAAGACTAGTTGAGAAATAGTGTTAATTGAATATTAATCGTAAAGAACCATGATAATTGAGTTATCAACTTTTTACAATCGTTTCACAATCCAAAAATGATATCGGTTTGTTGGCAAAAAGACATATTAAAAAAACTATAGCTCGATACCATGTCCTTATTCATCTTATACTAATATGACAAAAGTTACTTAAATCTATAAGTATTCTGGTCGCAACTAAATCTATTCAAATTCTCTTGCGGATATAATTAATGGTCAACTGAGGGCTATTAGAGACTCGTGCTTTATACCTACTCGTTACAAGAGGGTTGTGAACATGTGAACTATTATTTCGGTTCGGCTCTCGATTTAGATGAACTATGAAATATACTGGCCGATGTAATTTTAACCAGGTTAGGATTGATTCGATATTCTAATGAATGATAAAAACCCTATTTATATTAGCTTTCGTACACCTCATATCCGCGTAATTATATGTCCGTAACATATTATATCCGCGCGACAGTATATCTGTGGCCTTATAACTGCGTAATTATATCCTTTACATATTATATCCGCGCGACAGTGTATCCGTGACTTTATATCCGCGTAATTATGTCCGTAACATATTATATCCGCGCGATAGTATATCCGTGGCCTTATATCCACGAAATAATATCCGTATGTCAACAGCCAAACGGCTATGCATCATTCTGTTTCCTATTCCTTCTGCTCACCTATTTGTAGTCGATAGAAATTCAAAAAATATAGCAACTGTCTCCAATAAGAACAAAGTATTGGATAATATAAAAAATGTTGCCCTTCTCTCATCGATATCTTGATAGAATAAATAATTGTGATATTAATGATGTTTTGTATTTGTATCTTATATACTGGGTGTACAAGGTGTTCAAATTTTGCTTTCAAACCGAAAGGAAAGTGCCATTCAAGAAACTTAAAATAAATTAGGTAATGTTTTCATGAATAGCTAATCAAGCCCTCATAACTATAAATGACGTTATCAAATTCCAGCAAAATTGAGTGAAAAGTGTCTGAAATAAAAATAAAAAGAACCGATTAAAAAACTGAATTTCAACACTTTGTATCTAAGCGAGGATCCGCTTCTTTAATTTTGTCTGGAGAGAGTAGCATATAAAACTAAATGAATAAAAAGACATGCATCCAATTTGACACATGTTTTATTATTATTTTTCGAAAGATTCTGCTCCAATTTGAATCATTTTTATTGTACTCGGAATTCATCGATTTCACAAACCCAGGAAAATGCTCCATTTCATGACCTGAACAAAAATACTACATTTTTTGTGGGATTCTTGAGGAATATTTTGATCCCAAAAATCTTATCTGATTCCGGTAGTGAACAAAATCCTGGATCCACCACTGCTATCTTCAACCATATACCACAGATTAACAAGGTTTGTTAATCTGTGCATATAGGTACTTCGAATTTCATTAATCGATTTCATAAAGTAGGAAATTCTTGATAAAAATATTGTAGCCAATATAATGAATTCGTTCTGACTCAACTGAGATATTCCACTATAACTGAACTGGATCAGATGACATGATGCATTTTTTCGTATCATGCTATTTTGTTCCACCAAAACAAAGTTTACAGAATTGAAAATATTTTTAATTCTGAATTAAAAATATTGTTATTTCTGTAAACACTGACCAAAAGCTCGGTGGTGGATGGAAGTAAACTGGAAGAACGGATATTTTCTTCTGAAACATCTGTCAGTTCAGTTCAGTTATGTCAGTTGACAGTGGCACAGATTTTATTCAGATTTGACATTTGACACCTTTGTAGCCAAACTGTCTAACCCTTGAAAATATGGTCAGTTCCACTAATAGCGAATTCCATTCGTAAACCTGGTGGTGCACTGGTTTTGCACCAGTTTTGCACCCGCACTACGTTAGTTCTCTCCAAAATGTGAACTGGTGCATTCCCAATGGAATACGAAATAATATGATGAAATGTTATTGTTGGAGGTTAAATCGGATAAATTGGTTTGTCATTGTCTATAACTTGTCCGTATCCTGAAATTCCTTCTCGACTTCAATTAAAAACAGAGTAGTAGTTTCATGAAAATAATTCTGAGCAGTTTTTTTTTCCAATAAGAACCTCTTCATCATTGAATTTCAGTGCAAAACACTCAACAAAATTATGAATTCTGGGAAGTGGTCTCCTTTATTCTCTTGAAACCTCCAAATTTGCATCACTACTTGATGATGATGATTAGATTGCCACTTAATTTTGGTTTTCAAACTATGCATATTCAATGTTTCCGCCATTTTCAAAACTGCACCGACTTCGCACGACCTATTAGAGCTCGTGCGAGAATTGTTGCACTGAGCTCTAAACCATGTGAACCAGTTTTCCAATGGAATTCAAAACCCAACACCAGTTTCACCAATGGAATACAAAATATGCACTTAGTGCGACCCAGTTTTACCAATGGAATTCGCTATATGATAAGTTCAGTCGCTGGATGGGTTGCGTGCAAGAACTGTCAGATGACCGACGCTGGAGGCAGAACATTGAAACACACGTCACTTTTCTTATTTGTTTACAAGTGATCGAAATAGTTTTCCACAATTATTTTGGCATATGAATCGTGTTTTTCCGCTATTCATCAATTCGCTCATGCCATCACATTGTGCTGTTGTAAAATGCACAAAAACTGCAGCGGAAGATGAAGCAATCCGGATGGTACATTATGATTTAAAAGTAAGTATACGTACTATAATTTTCATTTTTGAAATTTGGTTATTTCTCTGATTTCTCATCGGAATTCCTTCTGCAATGAGAGCTAACAGAAATATACCTGAAATTTCTAGAATAATGCAAGAAGATTAGATTCATGCAATCAATCGGGAGGACTGGTCTGACATGCTGACGATCGTGTGTAGACATTTTCAATCTATTAGCAGTATTAGCTTGTATTGCAGAAGTGGCAGAAGGCAGAAGGAATTTTAATAAGTAATGACAACATTTCATAATGATAACTATGTGAGATTACTATTTACCTGAAAAATCATATTCCCTAGTCTCTTGCTGCATTTTTTGTGCATTGTACAACAGCACAATGCAAGAAACACGATTCGTATGCCAAAATATTGTGAAAAACTATTTTAACCTTTTGATTCCTCTGTAAACAAATGAAAAAGTGAGGTTGTGTTTCAATAATTCACAGAAGAGTGAGGTTGTGTTTCAATATTTTGCCTCCAGGGTCGGTCATCGTGCACGCGACCTATTAAGAAAGAAATAATATCACTGGAAATAAATTCGATATCCCAAATGAGTTCGAACTTGGGCCCCATTCTGGGTAAAATGATGTATTATTGCGTTCAAACATATCCATTATTGAGAACAATATCCTGGAGGGCTAATTTCGGGGCATTCGGCACGTTCGAAGTGATGTGCTTACAGGGCTTCCTAATTAGATCACAGCACAGCTCGATCCACCCTGCGGAGCATCGCAAACAGCAGCGCCGCTTATCAGAACTAAAACTAGGAATTTTGCCCTCACAGACAACTGCACAATTCCTCAGGTACAATCATGTACACTGGAATGCAATTAATAAGCATAAGTGAATAAGTAGTATGAATATTGTTTGAATAGTCAGTCATCAGGGGCGGATCCAGAGGGGGCATAGGTGTCATGCTCCCCCTCCTCGCAAACCTCATGAATATTTAAAAAATGTTGATATTCTGGATACCAGAAAAAACGATGTTAGTCTTCATAGCTTTGTACCCTAGTCTTTTTGCGAGTAATATTATTTCATTTAGTTTTACATGTACGACATATTAATGGGCCGTAACGTTCTATGTTCCTCAATCATCAAATATCTCCTGGATATCCCCCCCCCTGTAGTCAGCCCAGTGGTGTAACATGAGATTGGTATGCTCAAGGTTTCTCGAACAGGTCTCTCCATGTAGTGGTCGTCCGAGTTTCATCTGACACTCTTATCATAATTGCTGGTGTTCCGCAAGGATCAATTCTAGCACCAACACTATTTCTACTCCATTTCAACGATTTGTTGGAAGCTTCATGCCCAGTACATAGCTTCGCGGATGATGTTACCCTCCATACCGCCTTCTCTTCCAGGGCTCCAATACCAGCCAGGCAAATCGGAAACGAACGAGGGAGAAATGTTGACAGCATAAATATGGACTTGGCAACAATTCTCGAATGGGGAACCAATAACTTGGTAGATTTCAATGCGAACAGAACACAAGCATGCTTTTTTTCT